ACAAGTAAATATGTTGTTTATCTAATACAATGCCCCTGCCATTTTACAATATATTGGACGCACAACCAGACGATTGAGAGATCGTTTAAAAAGAACACGTGAATAATGTCAAAAAGGGCTATAAGGATCATTCATTATCTCTCCATTATAAAACGCATCACAACCAAGACCCATCATCATTAATATTTTATGGGTATAGGACTGATAAACGCACATTGGAGAGGACAAAATAAAAAAAGAGCGACCTCACAATTAGAGTCTAAGTGGATTTATGACCTTGGATCTTTATATCCAAAAGGCCACAACATTGAATTTGACTTGAATTGCTTCATTGATGACAGTTAATGTGCGTTTTTTGATCACTGGCATTTGGATGCATTTATTGTATTCTGATTTTAGCGCTGCACCTATTTCTCTCCTTTAATTTGATCATTGTAAGACTGGTTGGTTGCCTTTTTTGGTGTTCTAGCTGCTTATATATATTTCTGTTTGTAGCGCTCGCTATACCATTTCCACATTTATTATTTATTATTATCTATTTATTTTATTTATAGTATTTTATTTTTTTTTTTTTTTTTTCTTTCTATTTATTTATTTTTTGTTAGGGTTAGGGTGATAATAATATTAATAATAATAATAATAATAATTGAATAAATAAATGTAAAATAAATACACAAATTCATTAAAATAAATATGTGTAATAATAAATAATAATAATTAACCCATAACCTTAACCCCCTAAAACCTAAAAAAAGAAATAAAAGAATAATTTATTTTTATTATTATAATTATTATTATTATTATTATTGTATTTATTTGTTTGTGTTTAATATTATTATTATTATTATTATTTGTATTATTCTTATTATTAATAATAATGTATGTATTTATTTATTTATTTTTAGGGTTAGGGATTAATTATTATTTATTTATGATTTATTTATCATGTTTTTTTTATTTATATGTGTATTTATTTGACATTTATTTATTCATATATTATTACATTTTTAAAAAAAGATTGTTTTTCATTTGAGCAGACAACGCAAAGTTAAACCGCTAATCACGCTAGTCACGTTAAAATTGCGCATTTCTATTCTTTTCTATGGGAAATCTGCCCAATTTGAGCTACAAAAGTAGCTCCAAAACTTTTTTGAGCTTCAGGTGTTCTGCTTCAGCCAATGGAGTGGACCATCTCCACAGAGTAATATTGATTTTTTTCCCCCTGAGCATTTTAGAGAGCTTTGAGCTACAAAATGCTTAGGTGTGAATGGGCTCTTAGGCCAGCCATACATGGGTCGAAATTCAATTGATTTTTCGTCCGGAAATTGGACCTAAGTATAATCGGCCGATTTTCGCTCTGTTAGTGGGTCAATGGCACCGGCTGATTTTCGTGGTTCCTCCCCTTTTCTGTGATCGGGCATGTTGGAAAATTCGTGAAAAACGACCGTTTTTCGATTCAATGATAGTCGAATCGTACGATCGTTTTTCCAAAAAGAATATGCGCATGAGCCGTGACCTGGAAGGAACAGAAGTTTTGCCTGTTATATGGGGTGAACTTTATGACTTGGTCTGGCGATTTTCGAAATCATTGGTGGCACCATCAGATTACCGAGCAAACTACATTTTGAGATGAAAATTTGTTCGGAATTCGAACCGTGTATGGCCTGCATTAGTGTATCGGTTAAGTTTTATTGCCATTTAAGTCTCTATTGGCGACAATGTTCAGATGATGGTGCAAAAAAAAAAAATACTGGAAAGGTTAGAACTTCTGGAAATGTTTTCATAACTGTAGTGACCCCCCCGACTTGTAAAGAAAAACCTCAGATCAGGGGTGGGCTGATCCATGACTGCAGTGGAGGACTGAAATAATGATGGGTGCCAGCAAGTTTCCTTTTTTCCACATGGCTTGTTTTCCCCAGAATAACAGGGAGAGAGGGTTAGGAGTTCAGATAACTCCAGCACCAGGTTTTCCAGACTCCACCACACTCATTCTGTCACAGTGTGCAATGAGAACATTAACCATGGTATAGTGTAACAATAAGGACCATCAGGCAATCACCGGCAGTAGTGTCTATAGAGCTCCAAAGCCAGGTACTAGGTATCTTCTTGCATCCTCCTTCCAAGGGAAACCAGAATCCTCTGAGAGCAGACTCCATCCCCCTCCAGCAGGGCATTATCAAGTATTTGTATCCTCCCCAGTATGCAGAACTGGCTATTATTATATAGTATTTATAAAGCGCTAATAGTTCACTCAGCGCTGTACATTACAAAGGGGGACAGAAAATGTGACAGAACAATAACAATACAATGCAAAACATGAGGGCATTGAGGGCCCTGCTCTTTCGAGCTTACAATCTAGGCAGGAGGGGATAGTGGTACAGGAGGAGATAGCGGTGGGGGATGGAGTGGTAGGAAGAGTGGAGGAGGTCGGCAAGTTAGCAGGGGGTGGGGTAGGCTTCCCTGAAGAGGTGGGTTTTCAGGGTGCGCCTAAAGGAGAGGAGAGTAGGTGATAATCTGATGGGTTGGGGCAGGGAGTTCCAGAGGATGGGTGACACCATGGAGAAGTCCTGGAGGCGGGCATGGGAGGAGGAGACCAGGGAACTAGAGAGAAGGAGGTCTTGTGAGGAGCAGAGTGTGAGTGCTGGGTGGTACTTGGATATTAGGTCAGTGATGTAGTTCGGGGCAGTATGGTGGACAGCTTTGTACGTCAGTGTTAGGATTTTGAATTTGATCCGTTGCGCTATTACCTCCTAGTGGCCAGGGGGGACATAAATATTCTTAACTCAGCCTTGCTACAGCTCATCTGCCTATGGCTACTGGTGTCAGTGACACCTACTGGCAGCAGACTGAAACAGCAACAACACTGAGTTTAGCAGAAAGGCAAGTGAGATGCTATAAATGAGTCTGGACAGATTACTATCCAGCAGAAATAACATTTACTAGTCACCTCTGCATATGGCAGGGTTGCTACATAATTAACTGTCCTTTTCTGTTCCAGTGACTCCTTTGTAGCATTTCTTGTATAGGTATCACAGTTAAACAGCTGACCGAAACTTTACATCTTCTCAAAGCCTTCTCCCTAATTTTATTCTTTATAAAGCTCATTTTATTATTTGTGTTCAGATAAAACATGAAGGCCTTACAATTGAATAAACTGGCACTTTTTAGCCAATCAATTTTTTTGTATCTGCTTTTTAGGGAAATAGTGGCAATCTTCACTCCCATCCAAGTATGGATTGTTTACGAGAAGCAGCTGATTATGGCAAGACATAGAAGATGACACTAAAATAGGTTATATGTGTGTTTACAGATACATGTTACTATGCAGTAGCGCTGGTGAAAAGATCGAGTACTTTTAAGTTTAGTGAACTGAAGAACAAGAGATCATGTCACTCTGGAATAGGACACATGGCAGGCTGGTATGTTCCACTGAGTGTTCTTCATGAGAAGAAGCTACTGAACTGGACAGAAGATGAAGCTCAGAGAGGTAAATGTGAAAAAAAGCAGATCTGATGCTGTAATACAAATGCTGGGTGCAATAACTAAAAGCAAGTCATATATACACACACAATCAACATGTAGTCTACGCATGTGAAAGATCATCTACCTAATGAATAACTGCCCTGGCACATCATAGCATTCACCCGGCACTCCAAGAAATATCAGAATCCAACTGAAATATTCTTGCACTGTCAAAACCTTCACTTTTATTATCACATGACACACAGGAGGATATATCTTAGAGTCATCACAATCTGCATAATAACACACACCAATAATAATGTGAGTATTACATCATGAAATAGACACATCATTTGACAGCGTCACAGCATTACCAAAGCTATGTTAAAAACTGGAAGGAACAAATCCCATTGAAACCATGCTGCCCCAGGGGTCACGGGGAAGTTGTAGGCGCGACCAGTTGATGAGCCCATATAGTCTTGGCAAAAATCCCAGCATCAGAGCGTCCACTGGCAACAAGGGGGAGAGGGGCTTCCTACTGGTCTTGCCTGGACCTCCGGCTTTTAAACCATTTTTCTGGAAGCTGTCCAATAGTGGGCGGGCGCCACACCCACCACAGGAGGGGCTAGCAGAAGGGTTCTGTTCAACCACAATATTCGTTATCTGAAAAGTCACACTTTTGCTTCTTATCTACCCTAAACTTCTACTCATCTACCCCAAACATAAGGATTTCTAACTTCTCAAGCACGTAGACGCCTTTAAACAGGTTTTTATCTTCTAATGTGACATACTAGATGTTATAAACACGTTCAATTTCCAAGTTATTTCTTGCTCTCAGCAGAATATCTTGTGACTCTGTTCCTTTGGCCTAGAGAAATGACACATCAGTCACCTCTCATGCCCCTAGAATTTGGGCAACAATGCTTTATTGTAAAAATTACCCAAGAAACAAAGGGTCCAAGGCCAACACATTTTATAGGCATTACAGATGCCTACATTTTTATATGCACCTACAGCTGATATAATAAACAATCAAGAACAAATGTAAAAAGTGTCAAATAAATTGCTAGGCAAAAGTGAGCAGTTGGTAAATGAGATCTAACCAGTGTACCAGAGAATTGAGTAAACACACGCCGATACCTAAAGGCTAAGTTTACCTTTCAAGCAGAATATCACTTATTATAAATAATGCATAGAAGTCTTTTCTAGTTTATTTTTCTGCCCAACCCACCCCCCATGTGCTTATCTTTTACTTACCTTGTCCAGGGCAGCCTTAAATCCGCATCCTCTTTTTCAAAACTTCAAAAGATGCATTAAGAGTCCTAACTTCCTGAAGCATCATGTGACCATCCAGGAAACTTCATATCCCATCATGGATGGCCTTACTGCATCATAGAGTAGGATGTGTTTTACCTCTCTGGACCATGCCTCTCTCAATACTGGTTTTAGAAAGCACTGCAACACTGGGCTAAACTAAGGTAATGAATAGGTGGGCGGGAGCAATCTCCTGGAGGAGGAGGGCCGAAGCAGGGTGTGTTTTAACCACTTCCCATCCAGCCCATGCACATAAACGGACGGACGGGAGCAGTGCAGGGATGGATGGCTGTTTATAAACATCCTCCCCGCTTCCCTGCTTGTGCGTGCTCCCTGGGAGCACGCAGCACCGCGATCCGGCGCCCGCTATGTCCTCCGGACACAGCGGAACACCGATTGCTGTACGGGACCCCCTGTGTGAGGTCCCGATCATGTGATCACTGATTGGCCAATCAGTGATCACATGAATAGTAGTAAGCAAGATGTCACTTCTGACATCATTGCTTACTACTTGTGAAATCTGTGAATGATCACATGAATAGTAGTAAGCAAGATGTCACTTCTGACATCATTGCTTACTACTTGTGAAATCTGTGAATGATCACAGAGATCACATGGTATTCACAACAGCCTTGTACATTGTGACAAGCTGTGACCAATAACAGCTTGCACAGTATTTCTCAATGGCTGCAAGAACGCAGCCAGTGAGAAGGAGAAATGATTGCTTTTACAGCCTTTATGGGTGTAAAAGCAATCAGTAAAAAAATAAATATTCATCACCCCCCACAAGTAGTACAGTGTCACAATGGTAACACTGTACTACTAGGGTGACAGTATGTTTTAAAAAAAGCATAAACAATAATATAAAAAAATAAAATAAAAATGTAAAAAAAAATTTTGAAAAATTATAATTTTTGGTTATAAACTAATTTGGATTATTATTTTTTTTACTAAAAAGATAACTGAATACATTTTGGCCAAGATTTATGAAGAAAAAATTTGGGGACTTTTTCATTTATATAGCAAAAAAAAAAAAAATCTCAGTGGTGAATAAATATCACCAAAATAAAGTTGTGTCTGTCTCAAAAAAATGCTAAAAAATTCATATGGGTACAGTGTTGCATGACCGCGCAATTGTCATTCAAAGTGTGATAGCGCTGAAAGCTGAAAATTGGCCTGGACAGGAAGGGGGTAAAAGTGTCTGGACTTGGTTGTAGTGTTCTGTAGGACAGTGTTTCTTTAAAATTATGGACAGTCTTGAGGCACCCCATTCTAAAATGTGAAAAACTATTCTAATAGTTTTCATAATGCAGCAACATCCACGCATGTGGGACACCCAACATTAGAGGTAATTTAGTCTTCCACAGAAACCTTTTGCACACTGGTACTGACTAGTATTCCAGTGTTTCTCTCCTCCCTCAGTTTTTTCTCCATCACTGAGTTAATGTGATCCCAGCACTGGGGAGGGTCAAACAAGCATGCTGTACAAGCAACTGACATCCTCCTTATCAACTGATGATGTCATTGGTTGTCAGGACGCAGGCAGCTGGAAGGCTGTAATGGTGCACAATGAAAACCTGTGGCTTTGTGTAACTAAAAGGCAGACTTGTTCCACCTGCTGGCTTGTATACAAGTTTTCGGCAATTTTTTAGACATATTGCCAAGGCACCCCTGAAGAAACCTCAAGGCACCCCAGAGTGCCTGGGCACCCAGGTTGAGAAAGGCTGCTTTGGATGTATACCAGAAAGTCATAAAGGAAGCAGAGTCTGAGTCTGAGGTAAGGAACAGCTTTTTCCTTTTTAAGCAACAGAGGTACTGTACATGTCTTATTGGTACACGTTGTACACATGGAAGCTGGAATTTAGAAACAAAAAGTGAACTTAGTCTTTAAACTTTATTTATATTGTAGAAATTGAATGACCAATGAAAAAAGGCAGTTTACAGCAATAGCTCTGCATATGTTGCAGGTCATACACTTTTTCAGGCAGAAGAGGGTAGTGTTTATCCACAAGGCACTTTCCAATAATAATAATACATCAGCTACTTACAGACCATAGAATGCCAGATGAGCACTTCCCTTAGAGGGGACTTTGATATCGCTTGGTCACACTGTGATTTCCAAAGGTCCCAGTGGATATCTGGCTGCCGAGGGGGACTGTTCAAGGAAGCCGACAGAGGAGACACCCTTTAAGGGGAAACCTATACTTTCTATTCTCAACAGGTGCCCCAAATACTCTTCCTAACCTCTCCAGCATGGCTCCGTGCCTATCTTACTCTCAAACTGTGGGCACACCGATTTTTGAAGAATCCCTATTTATGGAATTCTGAGTCAATATAGCCGTCCAAATCTTGCTGAATTTTGGTATCCAATAGGATTGCGTCCTCCCCAATATGGCTTCCTGGAGCCCATAGCAGGGGACATTTAATCCTCAACAATCTCCTGCCATTCTGAAGAAATGGTGCAGTGCCACTTTCAGGTTGGTGGATATGCCACAGCTCACACCTGCTTACAAGTGGTCATCAAATTCCAACAGCATCATAATCCAGAGAGAAGCCAGATGCTGAAGCTTACAAACATTGTATGCTTCACTATATTAGTGACCCTGAATAAGATGCCCATAGGAGGGCAGCTGACCAAGCCAGCATCATATAACCCCCTTCCAATACATCTAGCAGCAGCCTGAGCTGCCACAGCCCCAGTGTTCAGCTCAGCCAATTGTTCATTTTGTGTCATTGCAGAAAGGCAGGGAAGGAAGGGAGTGCCACAGGCACCACCTATTCTGGGGGGAACAGTAGTGATCAAGACTGCTTCTCTAGGATGTTTAACCACTTGCCTACCAGGCACTTATACCCCCTTCCTTACCAGGCCAATTTTCAGCTTTCAGCGCTGCCGCACTTTGATTGACAATTGCGCCGTCATGCAACATTGTACCCATATGAAATTTTGATCATTTTTTTCTCACAAAATAGAGCTTTCTTTTGGTGGTATTTAATCGCCACTGGGCGCTTTACTTTTTGCGCTATAAATTAAAAAAAGTGCAAAAAAATTTGAAAAAAAAAAAAAAGTTTATTTGTTTCTTTTATAAAATTTTTCAAACAGGTATTTTTTCTTCTTCACTGATTTGCGTTGATGAGGCGGCACTGATGGGCACTGATAGGCGGCACTGATGGGCACTGATAGGCAGCACTAAAGGGCACTGATAGGCAGTACTAATGAGGTGGCACGGATAGGCGGCACTGATAGACAGCACTAATTAGGGGTCACGGATAGGCGGCACTGATATGCAGCACTGATAGGCGGCACTGATAGGTGACACTGATTATGGGTACTGATAGACGGCACTGACTGGCATCACTTCTGGGGCACTGACTGGCGGCACTGACTGGCACAACCCCTGGGCACTGACTGGTGGCACTGACTGGCAGCACTGCTGGGCTGCACTGGTGGGCGGCACTGGTGGGCACCACTGGTGGGTGGGCACAGGTATGTGGCACTGGTGGGCACAGGTGGGTGGCACTGGTGGGCACAGGTGGGTGGGCACAGGTGGGTGGCACTGCTGGCACATGTAGGTGGCACTTCTGGGCACAGGTAGGTGGCACTGCAGAGTGGCACAGGTGGGGGCACTGCTGGGCACAGGTGGGGGCACTGCTGGGCACAGGTGGGGGCACTGCTGGGCACAGGTGGGGGCACTGCTGGGCATGGGTGGGCGGGGCTAGTGGGCGCACTGCTGGGAGGAACTTGCGGGGGTCACTGCTGGGCACCGATCATCAGGGCACTGATCATCAGTGCCCTGATGATCGGTGCCGATCCCCACTCTGACAACTGCCGGTTCTCGGCAGTACTTTCCTCACGATCTGACAGCGTGAGGAAAGTGCAGCCGAGAACCGGCACTTGCATTTTCCTGTGATCAGCGTGTCATTGGACACCGCTGATCACGTGGTAAAAGGCCGGTGGGATCGGCCTTTCACCACATCTCGTGATCAGCTGTGTCCGTAGGACACAGCGATCACGGAGATCGCCGGGTGCGCGCCCCCTGGGGCGCGCAGCGAGAGCGCGTTCTGGGAGGACGTCATATGACGTCCACCCAGAACTAGCCGGCCGCGGTGCAGCCGTCATTCGGCTATGCGCGCGGTCGGCAAGTGGTTAAGTGATATTTCCCCTTTGAGATGCTGCGCCCACAGACACGAGATTGTCACCTGATCCAACAAAAATTTACCAAAATAAGTTGACTGTCATATATGTCTGTTAGCAACGGAGGCACAGCGGTGAGAGCATTTTTCACTATCCAAATGGTCTGTTGAGTATATACATTTTGTTTTAATGAGTCATTTAGGCACATAATATAAGACAGATAAAATAAACCGTATTGTTTATCTTACCATTTCATTTTTACTGTTCAGCCGTTTCAAGGTTCTTTTCAGTAAGCTGTGTTCCTGGAGCCCAGGAGCCAAACCTGTGTAAACAATGTACTGGATGGGAGGCAAGAAGTGCCAACTCAGCAATGATGAGCCTTACTATAATTGTCACGGAGCATTCAAGTGAGTGCAAAGTTCATCACTTAATTTACTCATACTTAGAGATACAGTGTATCTGTTTTTTTTAAGTGGTTGTAAGGCTCAGACATGAAATCTGAACAAACTATACTGTGTACTTGTCTCTAGCCAAACCACTGAGTGTGATTTCTCTCTGTTCCTCATTCCTCTGTTATTTGCATGAGTCACTTCTGACAGCTTTTCTCCGACACCAAGAGAAATAAAGGTAGCTGGGGAAAAGAGCTCCAGCACACAGCCTTTGATGGACAGGCACAGCTCTGTTTGTTCTCCATGTAGTGTGAGGAGGGGTGTGTGTTTCTTTCCTCCAATCATGGTTCAGAGTTCTACTACCTAAGCTCTGCAGTGTGTTAATTCAGATCCCCTCCCCCTGCTTTGTGCCGCTGATAGATGCTGACAGATACTGTGTAAATTCTGAGTTTTACAAGGATGTAGAAAATAGATGGCTGTAGATAAACAGGTAAAACATATGCAGGAGGATTTTTTTTGCATCTCTCTGTATCATCTGAGGCTAGTCACTTTACTGTTCCACCCAAAAGCGGAAGCTCTGCTTGTCTGCCTCCTCCCCCCTCCAGTGATACGTTTGGCAATTTTTTGGGGGAGGCAGATACCTGGTTTTGACAGGTACCCGCTCCCACTTCCAGCTCAGAACTAGCCGGCCGCGGTGCAGCCGTCATTCGGCTATGCGCGGTCGGCAAGTGGTTAAGTGATATTTCCCCTTTGAGATGCTGCGCCCACAGACACGAGATTGTCACCTGATCCAACAAAAATTTACCAAAATAAGTTGACTGTCATATATGTCTGTTAGCAACGGAGGCACAGCGGTGAGAGCATTTTTCACTATCCAAATGGTCTGTTGAGTATATACATTTTGTTTTAATGAGTCATTTAGGCACATAATATAAGACAGATAAAATAAACCGTATTGTTTATCTTACCATTTCATTTTTACTGTTCAGCCCGTTTCAAGGTTCTTTTCAGTAAGCTGTGTTCCTGGAGCCCAGGAGCCAAACCTGTGTAAACAATGTACTGGATGGGGAGGCAAGAAGTGCCAACTCAGCAATGATGAGCCTTACTATAATTGTCACGGAGCATTCAAGTGAGTGCAAAGTTCATCACTTAATT